CCATGGAGCTGATTGCCAGTCTCCTCATGGGCATTAACTACCACCAGCTGCCCAGCCACTCGACCAGGCCCAGCCAAGTTGACACACAAACCAAACTACCACAATGAGGCAGGGTCACCCATAGTTGACAGGTTTCAGTGGACCTTCCAGACTAAGACTGGGAAGAAAAATAAGGCTTCTGAAAAAATTGGCCACTGAAAACCTTATGAATAGCAGTGAAACACTGTGGTGATTCACAGGGTTTTCAAAAGGACATCCTGTTTGGTAGAAGGCCAATGAACACCCTCAATAAGGTAGACTGACACAGTAACCACAACAGTGGACCCAACCATACCAGCAATCATGAAGGCGATGCGGGATCAGACAGCATTTCATTCTGCTGTACATAAGGTCACCAAGGTCAGAGCCAGCTCCAGAGGAAGAACATGTGCCGAGGGCTGTTCTAAGCTCTAGAGAATAAAAGCCCCTGCCCTTATGGATCTTATAAACAAATGGACACATAAAATAATGTTATAGGTAATCTTCATCATTCAGTTTTGAAATTTCCTAATATAATTATATTGATATATCGAAGATGTGAAAGGGGTTATAAATCGTGGTGGAAGTGTAAACCTGTTCCTTTGAATGTTTTTTTTTTTTTTTGCATAAGAATAACCATCAGAGCTCCTCTGTTGGGTCCCAAAACCAATTCCCTATATCTCTAGGAACAAGTTACTTAGCTGATTTTGTCACATGTAAAAATAACGGCTACCATATAGAGCAGGTCTCACAAAGCTATATGCAGTCCATTTTTCAAGGTGGGTAAGTTAAAAGAATCAAGCAGCTCAAGGGCAAGAAAGAAATATGCTCTGACTCTTGCGTTTTTGAAATGATCTGACTGTTTAGAGAAGCATTTGTCTACTACAATAGCCTTGTTGAGTCATTGTTAGGTGCCATTAAGTCAATTTCAACTTATACATAGCAACCCCATATGACAGAGTACAACTACCCCCATAGGATTTCCTAAGCTGTGGTCTCTGGTAACGTAGTGCCTAAGGCACTTGACTGCTAACCACAAGACTGGCGGTTCAAACCCACCAGCCACTCCTCAGAAGGAAAGTATGGCAATCTTCTTCCATAGTGATACCACCTCAGAAACCCAAGGAGGGGTCGCTATGAGTCGGGTCTGACTTGACCGCAAATAACAACAACAACAACAGCCTTTATGCGAAGCAGATCACCAGATATTTGCAGAATGGATGGGCAGGTTCAAACTCCCAACCTTTTGATTAGCAGGTAAACATTTAACTCTTGGGCCAGGAGGGCATCTTACAAATAGGCTTATTGTTAGTGGAATAATAGGAGTGATTGTGACTGGAGTGAGTTAAAGGAAATCCTTCTCAAAACTGAACTACATCTGCTCAGTTCTCCCTGAAGGCTGCCCTGTGGAATGTGGACTCAGGTTTAGCCAGGACTCCTGATATTTTCAAGGAGAGCAAAAGTCTGAAATCTTGTATAAAATTTTCTTTCCTTTAAAATTGAATGACATTTATTTTGAATAGCATATGTGGTAAACAAACACATCTATAGGTCAACATGCTTGGCCCCCAGTTTGTGGGCATTGATTTGGCACAAAAAGTGGGGAGACACTGGCCTCTGTATCATTGGCTGTGTAATTGTCGCTAGCACTGTGCTTCAAAAGCCTTTGGTTTTGTTTGACCCTTCATAATACTTATGGAAGTAGATTCCAATTGTAGATGTTAATAGAATTTGATAAGTTATTTCAGTGGTAAACTAGCCCTCATGGGCTTTTGAGTGTATGGAAACAAAGCACACAATTATTGGTTTCCAGAAGGAACACAATAGTTATTTCATCTCCAGATGGCAATTAATAAAAACCAACATTTCATATATTACTTAGCCTTAAATTGTATTGTCTCAATTTGTTTCTGCCTATTAAAAAGATTCCAAAAATTTGTGGTTCAATTTTGATTTTTCCATATTTTGTTTTATTTTATAAAATGACATACCCTAGACGTCTCAGAAACCATAGCAAAAGAAGTTTCTTGAGGTTGGATTATTCAAGCTAGCATTGTCATAAAATATTCTCAAAATATTTCTATATGCCTTAAAAACCAAAGTGTTTACAAATGAGGACTTACTATTAAAATGTTTATTTTTGAGTTTATGTTCATGCCTTTTTTGCCTATGAATAGAAGTGTGTACCTTGTGACATTAATGAAAATACTATCCCGTTGTACACTTTTCTTTTTGAATCAAAAGACCAAATCTTGGCTGGCAGATCATCTAATGGAGAAATCTACTGTGAGATCCAGGACAAATACAGTTTTAATTTAATTTTTGCTTTTTTAGTTTATGATACACCAATAAAGAAAAATCACATTATTGTTTTTTAATAAAAGACAAAAAAAAAGAAAACAAGCAATAATTATCTAATATATATATACACACACACACACACACACATATATATACATACACATACAGCAGTATGTGTGTTTGTTGGACATGTACGTGTGTGTATATAAAATAAATCAATATTTAACACACATTCCTATTTCAAATAAGCACACGCATTTTGGAATGGAGACCAATGAGAAAGATTAACTTTTTTCTTCCCCCCTGTGGCTTTTTTTTTTTTTTCCAATTTATAAAAGTTTATTTTTGTAATTGTTGCAAGTATACATAACAAACGTAGACCAATTCAACCATTTCTACATGTACAGTTAGTGACACGGATTACATTCTTCAGTGGTGTAACCATTCTCGCCTTCCTTTGCTGAGCTGTTCTTCTCCCATTAACATGAACACAGTGTTTCCTAAGGTTCCTATCTAATCTTTTGAGTTGCTGTTGTCACTTAAATCCCATATATATAATTCTTAAAGAGCATAATACTAAAAAAAAAAAAAAAGACATTTTTCACTAGTTAAGCTAAACCACCACTCTGGTGGTGTAGTGCTTAAGCCATTTGGCTGATGACTGAAAGGTTGGTGGTTCGAATCCACTAGCCACTCCACAGAAGAAAGATGGGACACTCTGCTTCCATAAAGGTTTACAGCCTTGGAAAGCCAGTGGGGGTTGCTGTGATTTGGAATCAACTCAATGGCAGTGAGTTTGGCTTTTCTGAGTTGATGTTTGGTTTGAAGAAGAGTTCAGGGTATATTGTATGATAGATATGTTTACAACAACCACAACAAAAAGTAGCTGATTGCTTGTATACAACCAAAAATCTCATGGGATTTGATTTCTTGGTTTGGAGGTTTACCTAGAATAATTTTTATATAATTATATGTGGTATATATATGAAATGTGCATGAACTATAGAAAGTAAAGCAT